AGATAGATAGATAGATAGATAGATAGATAGATAGATAGATAGATAGACACACATAGTGCCCACAGAAATCAGAAGGGTTTTAGACACCCTGGAACTGGAGTTATGGATGGTTATGATCTACCATGTGAGTGCTAGGAGCTGAATCGTGGTCTTCTGTGTGAGTAACAAGCATTTTTAGCCGTGGAGCCATCTTCCCGGGAGATTCTAACATACTGGAGGTGCCACCTGACCCTGTGTCACCTGTGGGCTCTAGGACCGTCTCTTCTAAACATAGACAGACCTTTTCACTTGTTATTCTCTAAATAGTACAGTATAACATAACAAAACTATACAGTATTTATGAAACCTCTACATTATATCAGATAGTATAACTAATCCAGAGATTTCCTAAATTACACAGGAGAATGCATGTATATTCTGTGCAAATACTGACCATCTTAGATACTGGACTTGAGTATGCTCAATTTTGGTAGCTGATAGGGTCTTATTCATGACTCCTACAGACTGCATTTCACGGTTACAGCAATGGTGTAAGGCATGTGGTAGATTCTTTCACCTAATGGTTAAGAAACTGAGGGTCAGATGGTGTGATGGCCAATCTCAGCTGGAAAGCTGAAGAATTGCCTCCATCAGACTGGCCCGTGGGTATAGGAAGGTAGCTGGCCTTGAACCTGAGAGCAAGCCAGTAAGATCTCTGTGGATCTTCAGGCTTCCACCTTGAGATCCTGACTTGGATTTTCTTCACGGTGGACTACAAACCATAAGATGAAATAAACTCTTTTCCTCCCCACGTTTGCTTGTGGTCATGGTGTTTATCATACCAACAGTAAACAGACAGGAGCTAAGATACTCTGCTCAAAGTCTAGAGCCACTGGTGGAAATGAGGGTGAATTTCTGGGTTCCATCTCCACCAGAACCCTGTCCTCTGCAACCCCACAGGGTTTCTTTCCTTGCTTCTGGCTCAGCCAGCTCTGTATCCCTAAGACTCAAATCACCACATAGTGTTTTTAGTTCATCTCTTCTGATCCCTTGTTTGTTTATGTTGTTGTTGGTTTGTTTGTTTGTTTTTTCACCACCTTACGGTCTGTTCCCTCCTGAGGACAAAGTCCTCAGAGGTACTGAGCCTGACCTCAGAAGTACTGACTGCTCCATTTTCCTGTAGCATCCCTTTCTACGTGTACCTCCAGGATCTTCTAGATCCAGGCTCCACCCCCGCCCAACATCTCTGCCCCGAGGCCCCTCACACCAGAATCCCACCTGGTCTGCCCAATACCCCCAGATACACTCAGTGTCAACTGAGATGTCGCCTCTTCATTTTCCTTCTCTTATAGCTCCTGGTGTGAAGAGCCCACAGGCCTAGATGCCAACAGTCAGTAGCCAAAGCTCCCATCTTCTTCCACACCCAAGTTCTCTTGATCACCTCTGATCCTTCCTTCCTCCCAGTCAGGATAAAATTTCTCACACAGGTTCTCTCTGTTGCTTGCCGCTCACTTTTTTCCCCTCACTGGCTCAGGGCATAGGGTTTACCACCGGGCACACAGGTCTTATCTCTGTGCAAATACTTCCCGTTTCTCCAATACTGGTTCTCACCCAATCAGTAATCAGGGTAAACTTCCTTTGACAATTTACTGAGCAAACATTTACTGTATAACTGCTCTAGGGAGGGTTCTGGCTAGGCCTATAAGGGAGACCAAACCCAGTCTATGCCCCGAGGAGTCTCGTTCTGGCATAGAGGAAGCCCAGCCAGGGTATGTGTATGATGCTCTGAGGTGGTCTGCCTGCCTTCCTCCTAACCCCATTTCTGCTCCTTGGTGCATGCTGCTTACCTTTTCAGAACCTGAATTTTCTTAGCTGTGAAGGGGGGAAATGCTAGGTGGGCTTGTTGTTGAGAATTAAGGAAGACAAGGAGCATGAAAGGTGTGACAGGCACCTAAGATACGAACACTAGCTAGCTCTAGCAGCCAAGAAATGGTGCCACCTTTTAGATAGAAACCAAGAGGTTTCCACCTGCTGGTGGGCCAGCCAAGCAGGCAGATGACAAGAATGAGTTAAAGAGCAATGTGTTCGTCTGTGTTTGGGGTAAGGTGGAAATCTCAGTGAGGCACTGAAACATAACCCCTAAGTTAACTGGTGTGAGTGGGTGGGGGTGGGATCAGCTGTAATGTATCTGTATGTGACAAGAAAACATTTCAGGATAAGACTGTTTCCCGGGTAAATGCTAATTCTGTGGGCAGTCTATCAAGGAGAGATCACTGCAGGCCCAGGGTAGCTGGGAAATGTCTGGCTGTTGAAGAGTCAGCATGTAAAATCCCAGCACCACAGGCAAAGCAATCAACACTTAAGGACACATAGAGAAAGCAGTTTCTTCTCACCACACCTCCCCGGCATAATAAGCAACCAAAGCAGCCAACCTCTGAGCGGGTGGCCTTGTTTGGTGCTTAGTTCTCTGGCCTGGATTTTCAGGAAACATGATAAGAAGAGGAGACAGGGGACTAGAAAAGTCGGGAAGACTGAGCCTGGTGCCACAGGCCTTAATCCCAGCTTCTCTGAGGCTGAAGCAGGAGGGGTACAAGTCCAAGCCCTGCCTGGGCTACAGAGCAAGCCCAGGTTCAGCTTAAACTTGTCCTTGTGGGTGAGACCTTGTCCTGAAGTGAAAAGGAAGGAGAAGAGGCTCAGAAGTGCCCACCTCTCCTCAGGAACTTAGAAAAACATTTATGGTTGCAGAGGTAGGGGCAGTTGGGGGAGCATTTTCTTCAGTGTAACCACAGGGAAGGTGCCCACACTTCTGTAGACATTTACTGTGCAGCTAGCTGCCCTACTGCGGGTTCTGGGTTCTGGTAGCAATAAACAAGCCTAAGTAGGGTTCCGCCCGGGATTCTGTAAACAACCCTAACGAAACTCACCAGACTACCAAAACAAACAAACAAACAAACAAACAAACAAAGTAACACTCAACACAAAAGAGATATGAAAACCGAAGAGAGATTAAATTCGAAGGGGAAGAGTAATATCTGGAATGAGAGTCGTCACGTGTGTGTGTGTGTGTGTGTGTGTGTGTGTGTGTGTATGTGTGTGTGTGTGAATATGATTGAAATCTATACAAATATGTCATAAGTAAGCCCATTGTTATGTATAATTAATATGAGGTAATGAGCACTTTTTTAAAGTAAAAAAGATGGCTGCAGCTATTACTGAGTGATAGAACACTTAAGAGGCTTGGTATGCAAAACGCCAGGGTTCTATCCCTGGTATCACGGGGAGAAGAGGGAGCGGTGGGTGAAGCTGAGGAGATGCTGGAGACAGGAACTGGAGAGATATGCTTGCTTCTCTCTTGACCTCACATGGGGAAGGAGATGATGCTGACTGACTATCCCTCTTCTGAAGGAAGGTTCTAGAGAAGGACACCAGAAAGGCACATGGCACGACCACGAGCTTTGTTTGGTTTATGGCAGACCTGGATTCTCATCAGCCCTTCAGTACAGGCTGGCTACGTGACCTTAGTGAAGTTACTTTATCTTTTTTAAAAAAACCACTTATTGAAATTTTTCATACAATGTATTTTAATCATGTTTCCCTCCTCTTCCAACTCCTTCTAGGTCCTCCCTACCACCCTGGCCACCGAAATTTATTCTTTTTTTTCCTCTTGTTTCAACAAGAGAGTGTTGGCCAACTACTCTGGACATGAGTCCTGCCTTGGATTGCGGTTGATATGCTCAGTGACACTTCACTAGAAATAACTGGTTTTCCTTACCCCGCAGGTACTGTTTGCAAATAGCTTCTTGGTTAGGGGACTGTGTGTCTGCTTCCCCTTCTCAGGCTGGTTTAACCTATGCAGGTCTTGTGTACAGTGCCAGTCTCTGATTCCTGCTGTGTCTGGAAGATGCTTCTCCCTTGGCATCATCCACCACCTCTGGCTCTTACGATCTTGCCGCCTCTTCCAATAGATCCCTGAGCTTTGGGAAGAGGGGTTTGATGAAGACACCCCATTTAGGACAGTGACTGCTTCAAAGTCTCTCACTCTCTGCACGTTGTCCCGTTGTGGATCTCTGTATTAACTTCTATCTACTGCAAAAAGGAGTTTTTCCGAAGAGGGTTGAGCAATGCTCGGCTTTCTGGGTATCACAGTATGTCATTAGGAATCCTTTTATCGCTATGTTCCTTCAGCAGAATGATGGAATCAAGTTTTCCCCTAGGTCTTGGCCTCGTTGTCAGTGTCAGGTATGGGCTCCATCTCGTGGAGTGGACCTGAAATCCAGTGAGAAAGTGCTCAGCTGTTCCCATCACATTAGCACTTTTATCTTTTTGAACTTCAGCTTTCAACTGTCCAAGTGAGGATAGATTGCTTAGAATTTGTATGGACTATTCATTACACAACACAACATAGTGATTTTGTTCCCATCTTCCCTCTTGAACGTTGAGGAATGCCCCAGGAATCTAGAATGGACTGTATTTAGTGTCTAGCTCCTTCCCTGCCAACTCATGGCTAAATTGGAATGAAGCTATCTAAGCTACAGGCCTTAAGATTCTAAGTTTCTCTGGTAATGCAAGTGGACTTGGTGGGCAGAGGCTGTACTTGGTGGGCAGAGGTTAGACCAATAGGGAAAGAGGTGAGGGGAAGCCCAGACCAGGTGCTGACATCCGAGTTCCCTTACTCTCTTTCCTCCCTCACTGTGCACGCTGAATGTCCATCGCCAATGAGGCTTCTGCTGAGGAGGTTGTGCTGGTGTGTGGAGGCCGTGGATCCCTGCCTGGCCTTTTGTCAGCCGTGTACAGGGGAGCTGCTCTGTGTAGCTGAGGCTGAAGACCAGTAATCCTGAGGCAGATGGTGTGGGCCTACCTGTTCCTCTGAATGGAGCTCCTCTGTGCTCCTCTCCTGAGTCTAGGAGATTTGAACACATCCATCCCCTAAGGTAACAATGTCGAGAAGCTGAGTCTTTTTTAAAATTTTATTTTATTTTTATGTATGTCTTAGTTAGGGTTTCTACTGCTGCGAAGAAAACACCAGGACTAAAAAATCAAGTTGGAGAGGAAAGGGTTTATTCAGCTTACACTTCCAAATTACTGTTTGTCACCAAAGGAAGTCAGGACAGGAACTCAAACTGGGCAGGAACCTGGAGGCAGGAGCTGATGCAGAGGCCACAGTAAATGCTGCTTACTGGATTGCTTCCCCTGGCTTACTCAACCTGCTTTCTTATAGAACTCAGGACGACCAGCCCAGGGATGCCACCACCCACAACAGGCTGGACCTCCACTGGTCACTAACTGAGAAAATACCTTGCAGCTGGATCTCACAGAGGCATTTCCTTAACTGAGTGTCCTTTCTCTCTGATGACTCTAGCTTGTGTCAAGTTGACACAAACCCAGCCAGTTCAATGTGCACTGGTGTTTTGCCTGCAAGTATGTCTGTGTGAGGGTGTTGAATCTTGGAGTTACAGACAGTTGTGAGCTGCCATGTGGTTGGGGGAATTGAACCCCGGTCCTCTGGAAGAGCAATCAGTGTGCTCTTAACCACTGAGCCATCTCTCCAGCCCTGAGAAGCTGAATCTTGAAACTTTTAATATTGTTTTATATTTATTTGTGCGTGTGTGTACACGCATGTGAGTGTGTGTGTGAGAGAGAGACGCTACAGAGTCTTGCTTCCATCTTGACCTAATTTTCACCACCACACCCCGAGCGATGATGGTCTTATACAGAAACTTCAGCTCATCCCCTTCAGCATTTCCAACATGACACATTCCAATGTCAGCTCTTCGGTTGCACGGCAGCTGCGGGGCTGACCTTTCCTCCACTGCTCTCCTCATTTGCACTTTTAATGAAAAGCCCTTTCCTCTCCTCACGCCAGCTATGCTTGCCTAAGGGATATGGTTCTTTTTAAAATAAAGGTTTAGTATAATGCACAATAGACTTCAAGATAATACTTCATCACATAGGTGGTAAAGAGGCCACAGCAGGAAATCCAGGTGTTTAAGTAGCAACGGAGTCAAGGACCAATATCATCTCAGGTGTAAGGGACATACACTTACTCCCAGTAGGAAGCAACTACAGAATAAAGCTCAAGGGTTCCAAATGTAGTTGGTTGAATGTTTGAACAGCTGTTAAAAAGGTGAAGCCCAGAAACTCATCTCCAGCCACCAGAATACTTTCTGGGTGTTGCCTGTAAATGTTATGTTAGTTATGTTCTAGAAATTTTGCGTTGTTCTGAGAAGAAACCTCACAGTATTGTACGTTGTTCTCTGGTTCCAGAGCTAAGCCATCCTGCTGTCTCCGCCTCCTGAGTGGTAAAGACTACAGACTCATTTCTTAATCCACCTGAAGCCCGAAGGACCTTCCCGGAGCAGGAAAGTAGCAAGACTCCCCCTGAAGCAGCCCATGAAGCAAGTCAGAGAGTCAGATGAGAAAGATGAGGTTTTCAAACAGGAAGTAAACTGGAGCAGAAGAGACTCAAGAAACTAAAAAGAGTTTGCTTCCTGGCACAACATGGCACCTGCCACCCCTTTCCCAGACTCTGATCTTAGCCTATGGCTGGGGATAAGTGACCGGAGCACTTACCTGAGTCCTGCCTTGGATTTTGGTTGTCTCTGCCCCTTCTCCCGGGGTATTCTAGGTTGTATGGCTCTTTCTCTAGACCAGAGAGGGAGCCTTCTCAGAGAAACTTTCTCTCACCGTGTGTTGATTTACTCGTAACACTCATTCTCTATGCTATTCCCTGGCTTTCCTCGTGTCTTCAATGAAAATACTCCCAGCCAAGAGAGTAAGTCCATGAGGACAGGGAACTTCGTCTCAGTGCCTGGCACAAGAGGGTTTTCCGATTAGACAAACAAGTAAAGCACACAGAGTAAGTTTCTTTAGAAGACTGTGTATTTTGATGTCCTCAGACACATGCATACACTTGTACATGGTGCAGTCAGAGGTATGGAGTAGAAACAGACAACGGTTTCTGGTCAGGGAAGAACACATCAAAGGAGAAGGGAAAAGAACTGTTACTGAATTGTATCTTGGTGCTCAGTGCTATTCCATGGCGTTTGGTACATTTGATCCTTAAAATAACCCACTGAACACTGGAGAAAATTCCAAGTATCCAAGCCATTATAGAATCAGGACCTTTGAGGATGGGATCAGGCTTTATTGTCCCCACTACATAAATAATGAAACTGAATCTTAGAAGAAATGGCTTGCCTGAAGATAAGCTATTACTAAGACCAGAGCAGGATAAAAAGAAGTTTTTCAGATTGTGGGGCAGTCTTGTTCTTTGTCTTGAATTAAAGGAGAAATGACTTTACTCAATACCTCTCTTTATTGCTGGGGATGAAAGAGAAAGGAAGCCAGAGAGTGGTGGTGTACCTTTAATCCCAGTACTTGGGAGGCAGATGCAAGCAGATCTCTGAGTTAGAAGCCAGCTTGGTCTACAGAGCAAGTTCCAGGACAGTCAGGGCTACACAGAGAAATTCTGTTTCAAACAAACAGAGAGAGAGAGAGAGAGAGAGAGAGAGAGAGAGAGAGAGAGAGAGAGAGAGAAAGCAGAGCAAGCTCTGATGAATGTGGCCCCCAGAAAGCAATGGCCAGTTGGCAACAAGCTAGTAACACTGGCAAAGGGAAAGGAGAAGCTAAAGAAAGAAACTTTCTAATAGTTTTTACCATCACATCAATCGGAAATCAAGACTGTCTCTTCATGTTATTTATAAGCTGTTGAAATTTGCATTGCTTTTTAAAAATAAAATGTATAAATGAAGATAGTATGCTAACTTAAAATTTCAAAATGCGTTAACTATAAGTAAGGCCTCCTGAAATGTCAAGATCTCCTGAGGACACTTAGAAACCTTTTCTGAACCAAACTGCATAACCCGGAGGAGTCTGGCTTCAGTGGGCGAACTGTACTATTGAGAGCCTTTAGGTTTCAGAAGACTCAGTTGCCTAGCTGGTAAAAGCTTACAATCCCAGCACTAGGAAGGTGGAGATGGGAGAACCAAGAGTTCAAGGCCAGCCTTGGCTACATGAGATCTGAGATCTCCTGTCAAAAAGAATTAGGCAGTAGACTCATCAGTTCTGGTCTCCTATCTTTTTGTTTTTTGTTTTTTTGTTTTGTTTTGTTTTTCGAGACAGGGTTTCTCTGTATAGCCCTGGCTGTCCTGGAACTCACTCTGTAGACCAGGCTGGCATCGAACTCAGAAATCTGCCTGCCTCTGCCTCCCAAGTGCTGGGATTAAAGGCGTGCACTACCACCGCCCGGCCTGGCCTCCTATCTGAAACCTTCAACTACATCAAGCCACGTAGTTCGGACCTTTACAAAGATGAGTTAGAGATCTTCTTTACCTATAAAATGCAAGCCTTCTCCTAGCCTGCTTGAAGACACTGGTATACACAGGCTTAAATTAAGGCTTAATGCAGAGCCATTAAATACCATGTAAGGACAACCTGGAGAGTCTACATTGTAGAGAGCCACCGTTAATAGCCATCCCCATCTCCAAATTCTTCCTAAAATACACACTCCCAGGAAAAAGTCTAAGTGGTTCATGTTGGGCCACGTGCCTCTCTCATAGGATCTGGGATTGACTGGCCTCTAAGATTCTACAGATTAGGAAAAGAAAGACATTCTTAAGCCCATTCCTCCAGCTCCCCAGAAGTACTGGTGTTTAAAAGGACAGATGGTGATCACACTGAAGGAAATGTATGTCCTAATAGCTATGTTTCAAAACATTTAGAAACAAAGAAACAGTCATTACTTTGTCATTGTCTTTGTTTTTTCAAGACAGGATTCCTCTGTAGCCCTGATTATCCTGCAGCTCTTTCTGTCGACCAGGCTGGCCTCAGAGATCTGCTTGCCTTTGCTTCCCAAGTGCAGGGATTAGAGGCATTCACTACCACCACCCAGCCACTACTGGTCATTTCTGAGAGTAGAAATGATGTGCATGGTACTTGGTGCCTGCATTAGTAGTTGTACTTAACCCTTATGACATTCAATAGTTTGGTCATTTTTATTACGCTCGCGCACATGTGTGTGTGTGTGTGTGTGTATGTGTATGTGTGTGTGTGTGTGCATGTATGGAGGGCAACCTGGGGTGAGTCATTTTTTTCCTTCCATCTTGTGGGTCCTGGGAATTGAACTCTGGTCATCAGGGTTGTCGGCAGGCACCTTTCCTGCTGAGCCAGCTCTCTGATCCATTTTTCACTTTACTGTTAGATTTTCTCGTCCTTTAGAGTAATTGATTTGGCTGCAGTGTTCAAAGAGAAAAACAAAGCTGGATGTTGTAGTGAGCACCTGTAATCCCAGCACTCAGGAGGACGAGGCAGGAGAATTACTAGAAGTTTAGGTCCAGTTTGGACCTTATAGTTAAGTTCCAGGGCAGTCTGAGCAACAGACATGAGATTCTGACTCAAAAACGCGATCGAGAGAGAGGAAGGGAGAGAAATCGGAAAGTGGTTTGAGCTGACAATCGTTGAGAAACAAACAAGGCTGTGTGGCGGAAGCAACTGTCGAATAAGGCTTAAGGGCCCCACACGTAGTCTGCACACGTGACTGGACAGCTGTTAAAAAGGTGAACCCCAGGAACGTGTCTCCAGCCGCTAGAACACTTTCTGGGTGTTGCCTGCAAATGTTATGTTAGTTATGTTAGAAATGTTCTGTTGTTCTGAGAATGAACCTCATGGTGTTGCCCCGCAGTTCTGGGGCTTAATCAACCCTGCCGTCTCCACCTCCTGGGCAGTAGAGACTCCGGACTCATACGATCATGCCTGGCCTGACATTATTAATTTACAGAACTTGCCTGTACTCCTCCCGAGACAGGCAGCATAGCGGAGACTGTTCTGTAGCTGGCTGGACACCGGTCTGTAGACTGGGCCTCGGGAGTCACTGGCCTATTAGACATTTTTTTTTTAATGTCCTTTAGTCCGTTTTTTTTTTTATCTTATCTCTTGCTGTTGCAATTAAGTATTATCAAGGCATAGCTTTGGAGTACTTACAATCTATGCTCACTATATTAGCGTCAGTAATCTGCAGGATCTCTTCTGAGGTCTTTAGGACAAGAACAAGGACAGAGAGCTTCAGTGGCTCCGAGCCCTTGATTTATTTGGTTAGTGTGTCTGGGGCTTGTGGCTCTTAACTGGGGCTCCAAGGTGATGGCTTTTCAGTTTTTCCTCTGAGGACAATAGTCCCAGGTCACACACACCCTTTCTCTCACTGTAGCTAAGCTTCCATCACAAACACACCTATGTCTGGTATTTCTGAACTGATAGCTATGTGCTGAAGACATGCTGTTCTAGGAGCCAGGCTCATTTAGCAATCTCTCCTCCTCCACTGCCCCTTGGTCTTGCTGATGAGCGTCTCTGAATCTTGACTCGTGACAAGTCACAGGTTCTGGGTGTTCTTTCTAGGATGTCACAGCACTGCTGACTTTTCAGAAATAGCAGGAGTTCAGAAGGATGGCAGTCTCTGGGCATGGAGTCTCTGGTGTAGGTATAGGCAGGTCATTTGATCACAATGTTTTCCTTCCCATGCTTACAGCAAGGGGGCTCAGAATCCATAGCTAGGAAACAGTTTCTAATTTCCAGTCATTTGAATACTGTCCTCATGATTTTTGCCAAATCTATGTGCCATCCATCTGTTACTTATTTCATATTTACATTAAATTAACTACTGCATTTTGCCATAGCAATCACTTCAAGCCTTGCTATAAGCAAGATATTCATGAAGTCACCAATTCATAAAATCAGATCTGATATGATACCTACTAACTTCCAGAGCACATTCGTAAATACACGATTGTAGGACTGGGTATTCCCTATCCTAAAATCCTCTCCGGTTACTAGATATGAGCACCACACCTTGAGACGGGTAGCCTAAGCAAACCCAGGGGTTAACAGGAAGGTGAGGGGCCAGGGAGACGGCTCAGTGGGAAGAACCTAGTCACACTAGTGATAACCTGAGTGCTCTCCAGAATCCTCCTAAAGAGCCAGATGTTCCTGTAATCCCAGCATTCCTCCTGTGAGATGGGAGGTAGGGACACACGGGGGCTCCTGCGCCCGCCCTGCTGGAGTGCTCGGTACAGTAACACAGATAGAGATCTGCCGCAGCAAGGTGGGGTCGAATCCAACACCTGAAAGTTGTTTTCTAACTCTACACTCACACCGTGGCGCATGCACTATCTCCCTCTCCCCTCTCCTCCCCTGTCCCCTCTCCTCCCCCCTCCCCGCTCCGCCCCACACCGCGAGCGCGTCGTGTAGGGAGGGCGCG